TGCAGCTGCAGGTTGGCATAAGAGGAGGGCTTGAGGCTATGAGGGGATGGTGGCAGGGGGCCAAGGCCTGGAGAGCTGGGCTGCGGCCAGTGCATGTCTGTGGGGCCTTGCTGGGCAGCCTGCCAGGCAGCACCTGGGGGCGGGGCGGAGCTTGAGTGCTGACCCGGGAGGGGCGGGTGGGACCTTTGGGTTCAAGCTTCACTGGGCTTGGCAGGAGGCCCCTCCCCCACAAGTCAGCATACAAAGCAATGACTCCCAGAGTAGAACTGTGGGAGCTGGAGAGCCAGGTTCCCCTGGGTGGGAATTAGAGCAGGCAGGCTGGCCAGGAGCCTTCTGGCAGGGGCCATCCATGGACGTGGCCTGCATGCAGCTGGGTAAAGGCTGTACCTATGGATGATTAATGGGTATTGATCACTTGGGAGGCCAAAGGTAGCCTGGACATGGCTGATACTTGCCCTGTGCCTGCTCCCTGCCTTTTCCCTTTGTACTGGGCAGGGTAGAAAAGGAGGAGTGTGCATTCATTTACTTTATATTTTTAGCCATGCTTCCCTTTATTTTCTTTCCGCTTTTCTTACTACTCTTCATTTTCCCTCTTCTGTAGCTCCTCTCATTTTTTTCTACCCGATCCTACAGATACCTTTCCCTTTTGGCGTCTTTCCTTCATGATAAAAGATGTAAGATATAAATTTACATACAATAAAATGCACAGATCTTATTTATTTATTTATTTATTTTGAGACAGGGTTTTGCTCTTGTCCCCCAGGCTGGAGTGCAAATGACACAGTCTCAGCTCACTCACTGAAATCTCTGCCTCCTGGGTTCAACCAATTCTCCTGCCTTAGCCTCCTGAGTATTTGAGATTACAGGCTCCTGCCACCACACCCAGCTAATTTTATTTTTTTTTATGGAGTCTCGTTCTGTCACTGGGCTGGAGTGCAGTGGCACGATCTCAGGTCACTAGAACCTCTGCCTCCTCCGGGTTCAAGAGATTCTCCTGCCTCAGCCTCCTGACTAGCTGGGACTACAGGCACGTGCCGTCACACCCAGCTAATTTTTGGATTTTTAGTAGAGACGGGGTTTCACCTTGTTGACCAGGATGGTCTCGATCTCTTGACCTTGTGATCCACCCATCTCGGGCTCCCAAAGTTCTGGGATTATAGGCATGAGCCACCATGCCCGGCCTGTCCGACTAATTTCTGTAATTTTTTTAGAGACGTGGTTTTGCTGTGTCGCCCAGCTGGTCCCGAACCATTGAGCTCAAGCAATCTGCCCACCTTGGCGTCCCAAAGTGCTAGGATTACAAATGTGAGCTGCCGGGCCCAGCCCATTTTCTACTACTTATTGCATTATATCAGGAGGTAAATTACCCATTACTGTGATGCTACTTTTGACTACTTGGTTTAGATGGTGGCCACCAGATCTATCCCTTACAGATAAACATTCTCTTTGGTATTAGAGTAAGTCATTTCTGGGACAGACTTGGTTAACATACAGTTTCCTAACAAATCTTCCACCCAGTGTTTCTCGTTCACTGATGATCCTTGCTTGAATCTAGATTTTCTAATTCTATCATCATTTCTTCTACATTATTATTTTTTAATTTTTATTATATTTTATTTTATTTTATTAAAGATGGGGTTTCACCATGATGGCCAGGCTGGTCTTGAACTCCTGACCTCAGGTGGTCCACCCACCTCAGCCTCCCAAAGTGCTAGGATTACAGGCGTGAGCCACCATGCCCAGCCTTCTTCTACATTATTAACCAACATTTTTTCATAAAGAAAAGCTTCCTTTTCACCCTTTAATTTTTTCTCTCTCATTGAATTTCACTGTGGACTAGTGGATTTTTTTAATGTATTAATCCACCACTTCATCATTACTTTATTATGCTTTTAATGCTCAAATTGGTCATCAAGCTGGTCCCTATGTCTTTTTTTTTTTAATTTTTTTTTGAGATGGAGTCTCACTCTGTTGCCCAGGCTGGAGTGCAATGGTATGATCTTGGCAACCTCTGCCCCCGCAGGTTCAACTGATTTTCTTGCCTAAGCCTCCCAAGTAGCTGGGATTACAGGAGTCTGCCACCACACCCAGCTAATTTGGCATTTTTTAGTAGAGATGGGGTTTCACCACATTGGTCAGGGTGGCCTCAAACTCCTGACCTCACGTGATCCATCCACCAGGCCTCCCAACGTGCTGGGATTATGGGTGTGAGCCACCACACCCAGCTTCCTATGTCCTTTTGACATGACCTCATTAGTCTCTGATCACTGCTTTCTGGCCCAACAAAATGTCCCATGTTTACATTACACTTATCCTTACATTCACCCAAAGAATCTTGGTTCCTCTTATCAGATAGTAGGATTAGGAAATGAAGATTGGCTGGGTGCAGTGGCTCATGCCTGTAATCTTAGCACTTTGGGAGGTTGAGGTGGGTGGATCCCTTGAGCCCAGGAGTTCCACACCAGCTTGGGCAGCATGATGAAACCTCTGCTCTACAAAAAATATAAAAATTAGCTGGGTATGGTGGTGCACACCTTACCCAGCTACTTGGAGGCTCAAGTGGGAGGATCACTATAGCCTGGGAGGTGGAGGTTGCAGTCTTGCCAATGCACTCCGGTCTGGGTGACAGAGCGAGACCCTGTCCCAATAAAAAAGAAAAAAGGGAAACCAAGATCTAGGTGCTCGATCTGCTCACCCAATATTTTTATCAATAGCTTGAATAAAGGCATAAGAACTGCTTACACATTTACAGATGATTCAAAACTGAGAGGGGAAGCTGATGTATGATAATATAATCAGTTTTCTTTTTCTTGTTTTCTCTTTTTCTTTTTGAGAATGAGTTTCACTCTTGTTGCCCAGGCTGGAGTGCAATGGCACACTCTCAGCTCACCGCAATCTCTGCCTTACAGGTTCAAGCAATTCTCCTGCCTCAACCTCCTGAGTAGCTGGGATTACAGGCATGCACCACCATGCCTGACTAATTTTGTATTTTTAGTAGAGATGGGGTTTCTTTATGTTGGTCAGGCTGGTCTCAAACTCCCGACCTCAGGTGATCCGCCTGCTTCAGCCTCCCAAAGTGCTGGGATAACAGGCTTGAGCCCAGCCTAGAATCAGTTTTCCACATGACCTCAGTGGGATGACATCTGAGCCAGAACCAATAGATTTAAAAGAGATAATTATGAAGTCCTGTGCTTAGATTGAAAAAGTTAATGACATTACTTGAGGTTTGGTAAACTCTTTACTGGACCAAAGTTGATATAAAAAAATAGTTGTGGTCATCAGCCGACATGAGTCAGCAGTATTCTGTGACTCAGGTGGCATTCATTCATTCATTCATTCAGCCAGTACTTTTTGAGGTCCTGCTTACCATGTGCCAGGCACTGTTCTAGAGGCTTGAGATTTAATACTCAACAAACCAAATAAGCAAAAATCTCTGCCCTCCCAGTCAGCATTCTGGGGGAGTTGGGATGTCAGACAATAAAGAAAAACCCTAACTAATTAATCCGATCCTATGTTACTCAGTGATGAGTGCTCTGAGAAAATGTCTCAAGATATTTTTAAGGAGATAAGGGGCATATGAGGAAGAAGTTCAGATTCTTTTTTTTTTTTTTTTTTTTTGAGATGGAGTTTCGCTCTTGCTACCCAGGCTGGAGTGCGATGGCGCGATCTCCACTCACCGCAACGTCAGCCTCCTGGGTTCAGGCAATTCTCCTGCCTCAGCCTCCTGAGTAGCTGGGATTACAGGCACGCGCCACCATGCCCAGCTAATTTTTTGTATTTTTAGTAGAGACGGGGTTTCACCATGTTGACCAGGATGGTCTCAATCTCTTGACCTTGTGATCCACCCGCCTCGGCCTCCCAAAGTGCTGGGATTACAGGCTTGAGCCACCATGCCCGGCCGGAAGTTCAGATTCTTTAAGGTGATAAATGAGCAAAGATTTGAAGGAAGCAAGGGACTCAGTCCTGTGGTTATCTGGGGCGAGAGTGTGCCAGGTGAGGGAACAGCCAGGCCAAAGTCCGCTGTGTTCCGGCTACTGCACATGAACCTGGGGTGGGAGAGTGAGGGAAGAGGAGGAGAGGATGCAGTGGCACTGCTGGTGAGGGTGACATAGGGCCTTGCAGACCACTGCAAGTAAGGTCCTTCTGAATGAGCTGGGGAACCATTGGAGGATTTTGAGCAGAGGAAAGCCCAGGCCTGGCTTGTGTTTTAAAGACTCACTCAGCTGCTGTATTGAAAATAGATTGTAGGGGAACCGAAGAGGAATACGGGAGAACAGTTAGAGGCCCTTGCTGTAACTGGGAGAAAGAGGATGGTGCTTGGGCCCCAGGGAGCTGGGAAGTAGCAAGATTGTAGATTTGCTATGGATTGGATGTGAGGAGTGAGAGAATGAGAGGAGCTGAGGGTTTTGGCCTGAGCAACTGAAAGACGGAATTGCCATTAAATGAGATGGGGAAGGCTGTAGGTGAAGCACATTGAGGAGAAAGGGGAGAGATCCGGAGCTTCGTTTGGGACGTGTTGGGTTTGAGATGCTTTTCAGACAGCCAAGTAGAAATGTTGAGGCCATAAGGAGTGAAGGGCTGAGCAGGGCTGGACTGCGGTGCAGACAGAAGTTCGGGTACCACTGGCTGTAGGTGGATTGACTCCATTTAGAGTAAAGCATTCAAACCTGGGCAGTAGTAGCACTATGGGTGCTTGGCACTGTCCACAGCCTATGTGGAATTCTGTGTCCTCCCCTTAAAAGGGAGGCTGCTAGCCTGCACCATGTCACAGGAGGGTGTCATCAGGATGGTGGAGGTGCAGAAATCATGGAGCATGAGGAAGCTTAGCTGCAGGAAAGGAGATCTGGGACCATGTGGGTGCTGTGCCCACCCTCTTGACAGCACCCCTGTTGTGGAAGCAGATGGGGCAGACCCTGGAAGTGGGGAGGAGAGGAAAAAGGTGCTGTGAAGAGGCTGATTCGGGCTGGGGGTAAAGAGGAGCTTTCCTGCAAATTTATGGAGTGCTTGCTTCAGCAGCATAGATACTAAAATGGGACCGATACACGTAAGATTAGCACGGCCCCTGTGCCAGGATGACAAGCAAATTTATGGAGATGGTCTCTACTGCCATGGAAATAACTCGCTGGGGCTTTCACGTTTCTTCTGCACTGTAGTGAGCTACAGAAGGAACTACTACATCTTTCTGTAATCCTGTACACACTTAGGAAAAGCGGAAGTCGCTTTCCCAAAATTACTTATCCGTTGACATTATTGCACTTAGATAGTTTCTGGGTTTTGTTTCTTAATACTGTTGGGATACACTAAATTGATTTCAGAATCCGCTAATGGTCCAGGCTGCAGTTGGAAATCCCTAGTTTCCGCAGAGCTGGGCTCCCCCCGTGGAGATGTTAGGAGCCAGGAGGATTTCGGGTGGGTGCCTCTGGGCTTCCACTCCAGTCTTAGGGGGGCCTTTTCACTGCCTGGCCACGTGCAGATTGTGAAGGTCTCACCTCCTCAGCAGTATATTAAATCCTATTATTCCACTTAAGCTCATCTTGTCCTTCCCCCACCCGAGGGGATTCGCGTGGACAAAATTCTAAGCGTGGACAAGCCAGTAGGGTAGCTAGACTAAGCGCTGAGCTTGTAGTGAATGCCCAGCCATGACTTGCAGTGGACTGACCTGTGCAAAAATTAGACTCTCCAGCAGCTAGCCCCCGGTGTCAGCACAAGCTCGGCCGAGTTCACCTGGTTGCAGGAGCAAGAGGGGTCGCCAGGAGCAGCGGGGGAGGGGACGCCTAAAGGGAGGAGACCAAGGCCCGATTCCCTCCCCTCCACTCGCCGGGCGCATACTGGAGAGACGCAGCGTGTCCCCAAACCAACGCCGCTAGCAGAGGGTCCCAGAGGAGCCGGGGCCGGAGTCCGGGCGGCAGTGGGAGGGTCTAAGCGGTGAGCACGGGGAGCTAGGGATCGCTTCCGTCCGCGACCCAGCGCTCCGGCGGCCGCGGCTACAGATCCCCGGCTTGGCTCCCAGAGGCCGCCCCCACCCCACGCTGCCGCCCCGCCCCTCGCGCGGCCAGCGCCCGGGAAAGGGGAAGGGGGAAGGGGAAAGGGGCCGGCCGGGCTCACCGCGACTTCCTCCTTCGGCCCCGCCCCCCGCCGCTGGTGGGCGTGCTCCTAGCGAGCCGTGGCTGCGAGGCCGGAGCTGGCGGGAGGAAGCGATCCCTAGCTCCCCGTGCTCACCGCTTAGACCCTCCCACTGCCGCCCAGCGGAGAGGCTGTGTTCAGGGCTCACGTAACTCCCTTTCCCACCTCCCGCCCCCCAGGTCCGGGGCGACTCGGGGGCAGACTGCGGGCGCGGAGCTGCAGCTGCGATTCCAGCCGAGCCACCTGAGCCCGAGCCGCGGGACATCGGCGCTCCTGCGGTCCAAGGGCTGTGCGCCGCGATGGGCCCGGGGAGCTGGTCCCCCGCCCCGCTGGGCGCGCTGCCGCCGCTGAGTCTCCTGCTGCTGCCGCTTCTGCTGCTTCTGCTACCGCAGCCTACAACCTGGGCGCTCAGCCCCCGGATCAGCCTGCCGCTGGGTGAGTGCTGGGGCCGGGGGAGAAGGGCTTCGGGGACCAGCCTCGTGCGTAGGCGGCCGTGACAAAGGACGGAGGAGGGGACCTGTCGGAGGCACGGGGGCCATTAGGACCGGTTCCCTTGTAGGAGCGCTGCGGGGAGGGAGGGAGAGGAGAGGAGAGCTGGGGGGCCGCGGGCCCCTTTCTTCAGTTTTCTTTCTGGGCAGGGAAGGGGTCTCGCCGCTTTGTCGTGCCGGCTAGTCCCTCTAGGAGGATGCACTTTCGGCGGAGTCCGCCGCCCATCTGCTTGTCTTTGATGCTGACCAGAGCCGATCGCGGTGCCGCCCCCGAGGACGGCTCGGGTAGAGGGAGGCCCGTGCTTGCCGTCCTATAAACACTGGGGTTCTGGTATTCCCAGCAAGTCGCTGCAGGGCCCGGAGCTGTGTTGGGGCGGGCGGGCGCCCGATCCTCTCTCTCCACCCTTCCATCCCTCGCTGGCCAGTGCAGCCCCAAGCCCCAGCATGGAGAGACCTATAGGCCCTGGGAGCGGCCAGACTGCGGATGGGGCAGCTCTGGGCGCGACCCCTCTTCAGAGTGACCTGGGAATAGCATCCTGGCAGGCTGGGTTCCTGGACTGGAGCTCACATCTTCTGTGGCCACTGCCCGTTTCAGCCCTCCACGCTTCCCTCTCCTCTTCCCTCTCCTCTTCCCCTCCATCGGGTTGCTTCTCCAGCTCTTCTTGGGGCCCTTGGGCTTTGGATTCAGAGGGTCCTGGATCCCAAGCCCATTTCTTCCACTGGGCAAGTGCGTGCTTTCTGCTCCCAGTGCCCCACTTTCCTCATCTGAAAATAGGCAGCGTCGTAGGTGCCTGGCAAGGTGTGTTACTGGGGATGAGGTTTCCAAGTGCCCAACAGATGTTGTATCTGCAGATCGTTTAACTCACGGGTTGCAATATTGTCTGAACTGGAGTAAAGCATGTATAAATGAGAGGCTACAGACTGAAGCTTACCAGACTTCCATCTCCTCACAGTATTCCACCCCTGAAAGCATTCTATTTACAAAAGGAAATGGTAGAATCAGCACTTAAATTAAGGCAGGGCCTTAGCGGCTGAAGTCACCCTATCTGAGCCCCTCTGTGAAATATTGCAGATGACATGAGTTCAAATGCTACCTCAGCCACTTAGTAACCATGTGACCTTGAGTAGGCTGCTTAAAGTTTCTGGGTCTTGATCGCTTCACCTGTAAAACAGAGAAAATAATAGCACCTCCCTCAAGGTAGTGAGGATTAAATCAGCTCCTGTTGAAAAGTCCTTAGGATGGGGCCTGGTACAGGAACCGCTGAATGAGTGTTACCTATCATTCTTGTTATGCATTCAGCTCAGATCTGAGGCGATTCTGCCTGGGGTTAGGACAGGGTTGAGCCCCTTGGGTACTCCAGCTTGTGAAGTCAGGAGGAACAGGTGGAAACAGCCCCAGGCCTGCTGCTCTGCTGCTTCAACTCCCTTTGCCATCAGACCCTCTGAGTTTTGGGAGAACGCAGGGTGAGATGGGGACACATGCTCCAATGGACTCCACTTACAGCCTTGGGAAAGCTGGGCTATCTCAGGGCCATGTCAAAAGGCAGTAGGTTTCGTGTCCAGCTCTGGAACTGGATGGGACAATCACAGGGTAGTTAGAAGGCAGAACTGGGGAGCAGTGAGGGGAATCGAGAGGACCTGCTTCCTGAGGAGCAGCTAGAACACTTGGTTATTAATACCGCGCAGCTGCAGACCTGGCCCACTTCTGCAGGCCTGTGACTGCTCCCAGGCTTCTCTCACAGCTGCATTCACCTGTCAGGGCTGCCGGGGGCAGGCGTGCATTGTACCAAGGTGCCCAGCTCAGGGTGAGAGGATCTGAAATGCAGTCCACATTCAGCTCTCCAACCTGGGAATCCTGGAGCAAAAGACCCCTTCTGCTTTGTGTTCTTGGGGCTGGGCCCACCCAGAGGGGCCTTTTTCCAGTCCTACCAAAGCCCTGGCATAGTGTAGCAGCACCCAGCTACCTGAACTTGTGAGCATGTATCTACACTCGACTGAGTTCCACTGTGCCCTGGAGTGCCCCCTTTCTGGGCTTCCTCCTGGCCCTCACACCCACCTCCCCATCTTGTGCAGGTCCTAGGCTGGCTGAGAGCCCCAGAGGGGAAAGCCCTAGTAACTGAATGGCTCACCCTTGAGCGTGGCCTGAGGCAGTTTCCTGCCTCATCCCAGGGGGCTCATTAGATGTTCCTGGCAGTGTGCCCATCCTGGGCAGGCTCCTGGTGACCATGGGATGCCGGGGCCAGGGCCCTAGTGCCCTTCCTCCCATGCCTCTTAGGAGAAAGGGTCGTAGAACTGGAGATTACACAGCCCTTTCCTCCACCACTCACTCCTCTACTGATTCCCACCCTGCCCACAAGGACCCAGATGCCTGGCGACAGCGGGGCTGTGTCTGTGGTTTCCAACAAAATCCCTTGAAGTGGAGCATCCAGCTTGCCTTGCATCTGGGGTCCTTCATGGGGAACACTAACTATTGTTGATGAACAGCAGATTCCTGGGGTGCTTAAGATGCAGGGGGCCAACTTGTGGCCTCGCCTAGTGGCCAGTAGCGGGAGGAGAATGAGGGGAGAGTCACTGGGGGCTCCTCAGTCAGCTGGAAGTCTCTGACAGGAATGCTTCAAAGAAGCGTGTGGAATTTGGGTTCTCTTGCATTGGAACTACCATGCGGAGCTCCAGGAGCAGGCGTGGTGCTGAGTGGAAACAGTGGCACCCAGGGCCTCCCAGCCTGGCCGTGCAGGGAGAAACCAAACATGCCTGCTCCATGCCCCTCCAGTCTTTTTGGGCCCCCTTGTTTGGACACTTAAAGGGAGTTACTAGTTGTTTTTTTTTTCTTTGTTTTGTTTTGAGGCAGAGTTTCGCTCTTGTTGCCCAGGCTGGAGTGCAATGGCATGATCTTGGCTCACCTCAACCTCTGCCTCCTGGATTCAAGCAGTTCTCCTGCCTCAGCCTCCAGAGTAGGCTGAGGAATTACAGGCATGCACCACCATGCCTGGCTTTTTTTTTTTTTTTTTTGTATTTTTAGTAGAGATGGGTTTCTCCATGTTGATCAGGCTGCTGGTCTTGAACTCCTGACCTCAGGTGATCCACCTGCCTTTGCCTCCCAAAGTGCTGGGATTACAGGCGTGAGCCACCACACCCAGCCTATTGTTTTTTTGAGATGGAGTTTCTCTCTGTTGCCCAGGCTGGAGTGCAGTGGAGCCATCTCAGCTGACTATAGCCTCCACCTCCCAGGTTCAAGCAGTTCTGCCTCAGCGTCTCAAGCAGTTGAGACTACAGGTGCCTGCCACCATGCCCGGCTAATTTTTGTATTTTCGTAGAGATGGGATTTCACCATGTTGGTCAGGTTGGTCTCGAACTCCTGACCTCAGGTGATCCACCCATCTTGGCCTCCCAAAGTACTGGGATTACAGGCATGAGCCACTGCGCCTGGCCTTAAAGGGAGTTATTAATTTCCTCTGCCCCAGAAGTGCCAGGCAGGATAGCTCTGGACACAGTATTTCTGAACCAGATTGGACAGAAATCTGTAGGCCTACAAACTGTGGTCAACAAAACCCCATTGAGCAGAGAGAATGGGGCATTTGGCACAAATCAGCTGCTTGCCCTCTGACCTTTGAGCAGGCAGCCAGCATCAAGGCTGCCCTGAGAGGCTCTGATGCTGGCCGCTTGCTGAGCCCTCACCCTGGTTACTGGCTTCTCTCCTTGACGTGGCTTCAGCTGGACATGAGCCTTTGTCTCCAGCTCTGTCCTGTGCGTTGGCATCTCTCTGGCTCTGCAGAGGCAAGTAGAAGGCATTCTAACTGTGGATGCCCAGAACCTGGCTTTGTAAAGTAGCCTGCCACTCTTACTAACTGCACAACCTGGGGCAAGCTCCCAGCCATCTCCAGGCCTGTGTTCACATGAGCAAGATAGGAATCCTGCAGGACCCATCTCCACAGTGTTCTGAGAGGATCACATGAGATAACAGATGTTAAGTGTTTGGCACGTGCTACGTCCCTAGGAAAAAGGTAGCACCTTCTGCTCTGCTGCGCTAGAAATCCCTGCCAGCCTTGCTTGATGAGGTTATTTGCATCCCTTTGGTGCACCCTGTCTGAGCATGGGTGGTCTGCAGGCCCTCTGCTAGGTGCCAAGCCTGCCGGGCTTAGCCCCTGCCCTGGTAGAAAAAAACAAAGCAAGGCCCCTGGGGCTGATTGGAGGTCATTATCAGGGGTCCCGCTTCATTATAGCCCTGTTCAGCCTTTTCAAAGGCCTCTTTTGCCTGAAGGACTACCTCTGTATGGGCTGAACCATTCCTCTCCCTGCCTGCCCCTCACTGGTTCTACTCTGCCTTCTGTCTGCATAACCCACATCCAGCTGGTGTTGAACCCAAGAAAGCACTAAACTTGCACAACTTTTGGGGCACGTCTGGATATACCAGCATGCTCATCCTCTAAGCAAGAGACATGGTGGTACAGGGCCTGGAGGAAAGGCTAGACTTGGGTCATGCCATCACTCCTTCATCTTCTTAGAGCCTGTCGCCCTCAGTCCACCCCCATGGGTGCTCAGGCTGGTGCAGGACTCAAGGGGCCTCTGATGTGGCCCTCCCTGGGGATCAGGGGAGGAGGAACAACTTGAGACTGCTATGGTCGAGGCCCGCCCTCCCTCAGATGAGTTTTTTAGGAAGTCTGCTCCCTTGGACTGCATTCGCCATGCTTCTCCCAGCTGGCCCACCGTGCCCCTCCTCTTTCTGTTCTGCCTCCCTTTGCTGGGAGCACAACAGCTATCCTGTCTGTAAGATAAGACAAGCCTGGTGGCTCTTTCCCTGCCAACGCTGAGTCATGCAGAGGTGGAGGCTCAGGCTCCGGTACGTTCAAGATTAGGCTTCGCTGGTAACGCACCGCCATGGCCAAGGAAGGCACTGCTGCTGGAGGTGTAATGGACATTAAAACTGCTTTGCACGAGATGGTGAAGACT